CAAGATTGTTCGTATACAACCTTAAGCCATGTTGATAGTATTATTCTGCATCGAATATATATAAAGTGTCTACGTATATTCGCGGGCAGAAAAAAGTGTCTACGAAAAAAAATATATGATGGTGCCATGAAAAGGGGCAGAGGGGCTTGTGGGTCACAACGTACTTTTCCCTTTCACTACGAGAGTTATAGTGATAGTTATAGTTGATAGCTTAAGTTGTTAGCAGGACAAGTTCGTTCGGGAGTAGCTAGAGATAGGTCCCAGCGGACCATATAAGCAGTCCGTGACTCCGCGTCCAGCGTTAAAGTTTAGACTTTATTTAGAAGACTTTGAAGAACACAAGGTCACGAAGGACGGAATAAAGACTGGTTGTATGGTAACCCTTTGGAATAAAGCTATTGATACCGGAATAGACAGACGTATAATTTATATATATAGATACTTTACTCCAAAATTGAGGACTTGATTTTCGTGATCTGTTCAAATCTTACAATCCTTGCACATATGTGCATATGTGAACGTGGGCAACCCCTCATAGAGCCTGCTATGTAGCTTCGTGGTAGGCAGTCGAAGTAACATATACGTACAGGATATTATATTAGCTAATTGAAGTGCTGGTGCACAATCAAAAGGCGATTTTCGTCAAAATGGGCGGGTGCGTAGCGGAATACTGCCCTGATACTATCAATAGAGACATCCCCGCTGTTCGCGTTCCTACAGAGGACATTAAAAAGTTTGAGCAATGGATAATTATGCTGGGTAGACTCGACAGAAACGATCCACAAAATGGGTTACAAGTGTTGTCATAAGCATATAGATCATAAATATCTTTACAGGGTAAAGAAGTACATGAAGCTCAAGTCGGATGCTGTATCAATGACATAAGTGCAGTACAAAAGAAAAGAAGCTATAGATAAGGAAGCATCTGAGAAGGAAAAGTATGCATTGCAATTCAGACATCGATTCTACATCTACAAGCTGATATAGTCACTGAACTCGAAGAGAGTATTGGCTTATCCATGGTGAAGAGAAACACAAGTCATGTACCTCCAGAGCAGCCGCCGGTCGACCATCACGCAGGACGGCGTCACAAGACGACAAACCCTAACACCAAAAACACCGCAGCACACAAGGAGAACAGAGAACTGAAAGTACAATTGAATGCGCACGTGGCAGCAACACAGAAAGTAATACTCAACCTAGCACTGGAGTTAGAGAAACTAAACCCGAAACTTCAAGATGCAGAGAAATAAAAAGAGCAGGACACTTTCCGCCCCGAGTGGACATTCACAGAAGGCAGCAATTATGTTATAATCATTCCGGTGCTCCTTAACTCCCAGCCTGGCGAAAGCCTCTTTTGTGGACGGACGTTGTAATCTCGGTACACATGCATCCATAAACACCTCTGCGGGCACATCATCGAAATTTGCACAAACTGAAATAGTCATCCATTTGTGTGCACAGTTCTGCTACGTCTACAACAGAAGGGTTGCATGTGTTTTTGCTATTGACATGTGTGATGCGGTACGACTTCTTCATTTCAAAAACGCTGCTCGACCAAAGAACTCAAGGATACTATCCGGAAAAAATATGTGGTAGCTTGCTCCATTCTTTCCTACTGGTTGTTGTGTATATACGCTGAAATATAGCAGGTCGGAGTGGTACACCCTTTGCTTCTATTGTGCAGTTTTCATCCAAGAAAGAATTGTACAGTCAGTATCTTATCGTCTATTCTCTTACCCAGATATTTGGCACTGTCTTCGGCTACGCTATTATCACCTGATAGAGCGATGCACTTCGTCTCGTCTTATCAAATACCCAACTGTGGAAGTATGCGTGTACAGCCGATTGAAATGCAGACTTGTATTCATTATACACGAGTGGGGTTTTGACCATGGTTAATCCGTATTCTATCAATCGTGTACAGAATTGAAAAGTGTTGGAGGCTCATGATGAGCCTTGTTCGTAGTTGCATCAGCAACGCTTGAATGCAGAATCCACCAAGCGGTGCACTTCTTGCGTGTAAATGTTTTGTGTAGTCACAGCGTCGTACAATACTTCGAGCCATAAAACATGCAAGATTTAACTATTCCCACTGCAAATATTGTTGGTGTTTTTCTAGCCGCTTTTAGGTATAACAAGGGATAGCCAACGCTTGTCGCGACAAGGGAGCAGCTTGGCTCTTGCCAACATAATTAAGCCAGCTGTGAACCAGCTTCATACGGAGCAACAACGTAAGGGCAGCTCATAGTCAAACAGCAGCCAATTGCTGTACGCGTGTGATCCCACATACATGTGGCTGCCGCTGCTAAATACTTCACACCAACCTTGCTCGTCGAGAGCCGTTCTCGTCGAGAGCTTGCCACTTTATAAATGCAGAGGCAGCATTCTTCATACGCTGTGCATGGAGGAATATTGCCATATAAAAAAATATCGGCTCGCACGAGAGACCTATACAAGTTTCTTCAAACAAGCGTAAGATAGTTTCTATTTGCTTTTCCACAGTGTCAGTAGCACCACCATTTTTGTGAAGGGTTTAGGGTTTTTAAGATGCAAATGCAAGGTTCTGTTATCGTTTAACCAGTTATAAAAACAAAACGTGTCTGTCCTTAAATTTTGTCAGTTCTGTATTTTAAGGGTCTATTAGAAATTTAACTTAGCTTTTTTAAACAGTGATATGAATGAAAATTTTGCAAAGATTGTTTCGATAACTCCAGCTCCTTTTTCATGTGCACCAATTATTTTAGGGCGATGTCTCCCGAGCAGAGTATGTAATTTGTTTGTTTGTTTTTTAACATCAAACAAAAAAAGAATACATATATGCCATAGCCTTCTAAATTAAATAAACATATATGCTGTACATATATCCGTTTTTAATAAATATATACATATATAATTTGTACATGTATTGCGCTCTGAGAGCAAGGTACTTATTGATGGTTATAGGTCGTGGAACCCTGGTTCGAATCTAAGGTTTCAAGGCCGATTGTGACCTTGAGTTTACTTTGTGTAAAATAGTTAAGTTCCACGAGTAAAACACATAAAACAGGTTGTACAGAGGAGGATAGAATGAGTGTAAAGTGTGCATGTAGGGTGACGGGGAGAGGAGAAGGCAAAGGCTGTAGACTGAAGACAGTTAACACAAGAAGAGTAAAAAAATATTGCATGTAACTAATGTGGGATTATATGTGTGCAATAGTTCTTTGGATTGGAGGATGATTGAAGTATTGTCTATAAGTAGACATGAGAAAATGCACTTACCAAACTTGTCTTTTACTGATCATGGACAGTAGATTGATGGACAGATAGATAGTAGTAGTAAGGTTGCAAGAATGAGTATAAATAGTCAGGTACAAGTAGTTTTCTAGTCCAGTTCCAGAGTTAACATCATGTATAATAGACTGTGCAACAAACACGGGTTCCCCCCCAAATAAGGTGGGTTCCTTTTCGAAACTTAAAGTTTTGCACTATAATAACCATAAGCGCACTATAAATTTACACCCACTCTACTTAGATTATAGAACCTAGATAGTCTACAACATGTCCTCAAGATTAGACGCAGCTAAAGAGAGATGGCCAGTTCCGAGGAATGGTCAAATATGGCGCACGGAAAAATGAATTATTTATTTACAATAGGAGTTATGCGCGTCATGCTGTGCGAAATAATCAGGATTGGATCAATAAATATTTTGATGCCAATAAAACTCGAGCTGAAGGCGAAAGCCGAGACATTAGTGAATGACCCAGAGCTCAAGGTGCTTGTTATACCTAAATGAATTGTTTTGGTGCAGCGTTGGGCGCAGCCTATCACTGGCAGTGTGACTGCAAAAGGAATTGAGGACTGGGATTTGGGTGCCTCAAAATGCATCAATGGACATGCAAGGTGACGACAAAACTTTGTCTAAGAAGTTGATGGAGGCTGCTCTGGCTGTATTTGGGAAGTCCAATGTGGTGGAAAGCATCAGATTGCAAGCAATAGTGGAAAACTTCCGATCTTTGTCCAAACAAAGAATGCAACCAGTTGTCAATATGATTGAGCCAAGCCTGCCAGACCCCTTTATTAGAGCTGGAATTAATGCGACAACTATGAATCCAGATTTTGGGGAAGAAGTTGTGGCTGAGCTCAAGGAACTGGAGACAGATATTCGATATTTTGATTTAAAAGAGATTATTTTAGGACCGGAACAAATATTGGAACAGAGGATATAATGCGAGAGAATGATGACTCGGAAGGTGTCATCATAATTTAGTAACTTGGAGACGAATGATGATTCATAGGGTGTCATCATAATATAGTAACTTGGAGACGAATGATGATTCATAGGGTGTCGTCATAATTTAGTAACTAGGAGACGAAAACCATAGATATGGATATTTTCACAATTATCCGTTGTTAGAAGAAATCTCATTCCACACAGGAACGTGATAATGAACACAGCAGACGCGCCGTTCACAACGGCACTTCTGACCGAGTTCATCTATTTCAGACTTAGCACTCTTTACTAAGTGCCGCTTGGTTTTGACCACATCTGGACTCTCCATGATCACCTTGAATCGGTTCTCTAGCATGTAGAACATCCCTCGTACCCACACCGTCTCTGGCACATCAACAAATGTTCCCCATACCCCGGCTAATCACCCTGTTGAAGTACCAGATAATTTGGTTCCAAACCAAGTCATCGCGCCTGCAGGTTCCGCCCATGATACTTCCATTCCAGGCCAGCCAGCTCATACCGAATGCATGTTAGAAGAAATCTCATTCCACACAAGAACGTGGTAATAAACACAGCAGACGCGCCGTTCACAACGGCACTTCTGACCGAGTTCACCTATTTCAGACTTAGCACTCTTTACTAAGTGCCGCTTGGTTTTGACCACATCTGGACTCTCCATGAACACCTTGAATCGGTTCTCTAGCATGTAGAACATCCCTCGTACGCACACCGTCTCTGGCACATCAAACGAATGTTCCCCATACCCCGGCTAATCACGCTGAAGTACCAGTTATTTTGGTTCCAAACCAAGTCATCGCGCCTGCTGGTTCCGCCTATGATACTTCCATTCCAGGCCAGCCAGCTCATACCGAATGCATCCGTGGTCTAGCGCGGCATTGGTTCATCCCCAACCTCGCTCCTCAACCGAAGTACGGCGGATAACTTGGTCCTACTCGGCATTTCGTATTCACAGCACTAACCCATTCCACAGCACTACACGATAAATACCCGATCCAAACCACAGAGGTAAATACGCTATTTATTAGGTCCGCAAGCGAATACGTGGCACACTTGATGGTATCAGTTTTTTTTGTCAGCACCGGTCTGAATTGACCCCGCATATATTCTCCATCGTCAACTCACTTGGCCCAAGCTTCAAACGGGGATTTACTGGCCACTTCTTTCCATCGATCTTCCCCGAGCCACTACAACGGCTATGAGAGCTATATTGTACTATATATACATACGTTGTAACTTACTTTGAAATAAATAGTAGTATCCATACATAAATATTCTTTCTTGTTATATTTTGTCGGAGTTTCAGGAATCCCCCATCCCAATCAGTATTTGAAAACTACTGGCATGTGCAATAGCCGGGCCTCCACATTAGACTCTATGTTATAAACGTACTCTTAAGCAGTGCATAAACTATAAACGTACTCTTAATAGTACGAGGAACTTAAGCTTCCTAATGGTTTTTATCGGTTTTTATTAATTAATACCTTTCCCATTTTACAGATCAGATTTTTGGACAAGGCCATTAAAAGGCCCCAGTAAAATACCAAACATAAGATTTTCCAAATCTATTTATATCTGAATACTTCGGTAGCGAGATGGCTCGACCGAATATAGATTTCTAGGGACTATTGGTGTTACCTAGTTTAACCTCCATTCAGCCAACCAGATGTGCCAGTCTGATGAAGGCTAAGCCGGTAATTCTTGATAAGTGGCAAGTTACTGGTTAATGCAATAACTATGGACATCAAGAGTATTTTCTTTTTTCTATTCTTTTTTCTAAAGATAGGATTTTTTTAGTCTCTCGGATTCGCCCCAACGAAACATACCATAGTTTCTAATAGAGCGACAGCGAAACATTAAATAAAATCCCTTCGGCGAAAACAGTACTGAGAGGATTATATACAGGCAATGTCTCAGCCTCACAATCCCTCAGAGTATTCCTGTTTTTACGAGGCATACCTAACTTTACTAAAAGACTCATTTCGTTATTTATTTCGAATTTAACTATACTTGGACTTAACCTAAGCGTTTAATTACTCTAAGGCGTTAATATCGCCTTGATAAACCGAAACTTACACGTTTTAAAGTTAGCAAAGGTATTAATTACTTAGACAACTTAAAAGTAAAGGTAGATAACTACCACGAAATTTTTCTTTAGCACAGTCATTCCTTAGGAGAATAAGACAGTTTTTAACCCTAAAAACCCTAAGGTCATAAGTTAAGATTATGACAAAGAAAGACAATACGCCTGCAAAGAAACGCAAGACCGAACATAAAAAGATGGAAAGAGAAGCTGCTAGCGCTGCAGCAGCTACCGCTGCCGCAGAAGCAACCACAGCTGCTGCCGATGCGTTTAACCGCACCATAGCCGAAGCACTTGTCTCCGACAATAATAGTCAGGACAATGCCTCGAATAAGGATGTAGCCACTCCGATTAAGGAAACTACTCCTACAGATAGAGCCCGAGGGCCAACTATTGCCTCAACTTCGAAGCTTGCATTTACGAAGCCAAGAAGTGAGACAACGCAGAAAGAAAAGTCTCCAATTATAGGGGACAAAGACGAATCTCATAAGGTACCTATACCGGAACCAGAGGAGGGGGCAAGCTCAAGTGGTAAACCCGAAACTACGTCCGAGACCACTGAACCAACACGCATAAGTAAGTTAACTACTGAAAACACTGATCTACAGAATCAGTTAGCCGCCCTTATGAAAGGCATGACTGTTGAACATGTAGATCGAATGTATGGATCAGGAAAACATGCTCAGCACTTACGCGAGCATGTTTCTCCGTGCATTACTGAAGCCCTACAGAAGTGGACAGAACGTCGACTGGCAATTACGCCCGAAATGCGTAAAAGCCTGAGCGCTACACCTGTGGCAGATGAGCCAGATGTGCTCAGCGTATCTATACCTTACGAGGTACTACCACTAGAACTCCAGACTAATTATTCGCCTGTTCTAACGCCCGACCACAAGTCACCCGTCCTTGAGGGTATTATAGACCCAGAGGCAGGTAAAAATACTCCGTCACCTTTACCTAACTGGGATGACAATCGTCGGAAACCAGTTAAGACTGGGTATGTTATCCAGGCACATGAATCACCCAAGATTCTAATACCAACTACTATCTGAGGAACAGAGCACCGAAAGGCCTCGACCATGGACTATACAAGGGGTAATAAATACCCCCGTAAACGTGTTAACGATGTCGAATTTAATCGCTTCGATCGCACAGTATTACTCCAGCCCGCAGAGGATTTCCACTATGATCGGTCGACGATTACACCATTAAGATGGAAATCGCCCACGACGAGCACCGTGCTGATGACGTATCATATTTTGCTAATATGATCGCGATCAAGCAAAAGCGCATCGATCAGCTACTTCAGGCCCAACGTAGGCAAGACCCCCGGGATCACCAGAAGTACAAGGGACAGATCAGTCGACTTAAGTCGAACTGGGATGCCAACAGCAAGCAGGTCGAGTTTATAAACAACCATGACCTCGACACGCTATCCCCTACGCTTAATGCGTTTATGGTGGTCATGTTGGAGACGAATGATATCGCTCCCCAGCAATGAATTTCTGCTTTAATACAATCGTTTGACCCTACAGGAACACGTTACTTGATCCTGCAGCAGCACCAGCATGAGCTAGACACTTGTCGTGACTGGCCAGCTGTGTGTTGGTTGGTTACGGCCTTATTAAGCAAGGACATGCGAAGTCCAGGACTGAGTTCAATCTCACTGAACCAGTTGAGAATACTCCTATTCAGAGTTATATTCTGAAACTTGATGCTGACCTTAAACGTCCAGATGCAACAAAGGACAAGGCGCAGCGATGGTACGAGTTCTTGGCTACGCATGTTTTCTGTAAGAACATAGGGAACAACGACCGTGAAAGTCTGTACACCGAGTTGCAACGTTAATACGCTACTGAGGCTCGAGACAAGGTGTAGTAAAATTCCCCTTAAATCACTATCAGTGTGGAGTTAGAATTAGTTTACAATTAATTCGCACGAGGTGAATTATTTGTAGACCACGTAGACAATCAAATATAAGAATAAATACACCGCACTGAGCCTCAGGGAGCCTCAGTAGGTTTTAGTATCGTATTTTGATGTGTTTACTACAAAGGGACATGGACAAAGTTTCATCTATCCCGACTTACGTGGGAACAGTTTTATGATACTGTATCCACTCTTTTCCCCGCACACCGAGTAATCTCGAAGGGAAAGGCGGTAAATAAGAAACCACGCGAGCTCCCTGATCAAGGATACCTCTCACGCCAGACGTCAGATGATAAACCTTATCAGACGCGTCCTAACCCGACACGTGCTCGCGACTCCACTCAATCAACGCGACCCAATAAACGGGCACGCGCGGAGGCGAAGGACAAGGAACCTTCATTTAAGGAGATTAAGAAATGTGCCGACGCACAGTGTGGGTATAACATGTACCAATTGACCCCTACGGTTATTGGAATGGCAGACATGCACCCACCTGTACACACTTTCTTATTAAGTGTAACAAGTGTGAGAAGACCAATGGCTATCATGCCAAGTCTTGTGACAAAAAGCCCGACATTAAGCTGGAGTGAAAGTACTACCAGGTACAATCGTTACAAAGGAAATACAACGACTCTTTAGACGACTGTGTAATAATACCTTTATATGGAGATTAAGAAATGTGCCGACGCACAGTGTGGGTATGGCATGTACCAATTGACTCCTACGGTTATTGGAATGGCAGACATGCACCCACCTGTACACACTTTCTTACTAAGTGTGATAAGTGTGAGAAGACCAATGGCTATCACACTAAGTCTTGTGACCGAAAGCCCAACATTACGTTGGAGTGACGGTACTACCAGATACAATCGTTACACAGACAATACAACGACTCTTCAGATGAGCGTGAAATAATCCCTGTATATTGCAATGGAAATAAAATCCTTGCGTTGATTGATCCTGGT